CTGTGATCGTCAATATCAAGTAGCATATTCATATTTGTGGGGAGAAGGTTAATAATCAACACGTCAATATGCAATCACGTGTGATTGGTCAAATTACCCGACCGTGTGAATGAATTACCCGTGTGAATGAATTACCCTATCTGTTTCACATTTCGTCGCAAGAGGAGATTTCAAAAGTGTGGCCACGACATCTTAACGTGAGTTGACGCCATATTGTAAACAAATTGTGTCAAGGTTGGTTTCGAATGCGGTACCTCGGCCCCAGTTTCTGTCGATGGTACACGCGATAAAAACATAATACAACTACTAAAACAATAAACATAACGTCTAAATGATGACAGCGATACCTTTTAGCATTTGAGTTAACTGCTTACGGATGGATACGATGTGCTGTAAAGTTCGGTTTTAATTTGTTTTCCCTTTCATTGAAACTTACAGTGTATACCTTTGGGACTTGATGAATTTAGGTAATGTTGGAGAGACAATCAACTCAAGTTGAATGTTTAGTAACACTGTGTATAGAAATGAGAACGTCGTAACAGTTACTTTCGATGCAATGTATACGTTTGTGAAACCGCTAGGTCACCACAGTGCTGCACTGAGCGGTGTACAAAGCCAGCTGACAGCCAGGCACCATGAGGGTTAAACTTTTGATATCGAAAATCAATTATTAGGCCGACAAGAAAAACAATTAATTAACTTATACTCCTCAACAAAGTACTGTTGCTGGATTGGTAGATAACGATCTACAGCCCGTTTATACTGTGGATCGCCTCCGTTGTCCAGTTGTAGAGCGTCCCTCTGAGAACGGATAGTCAGGGGTTCTATCCCCGGCCGCGTCATACCAAAAGACGTTAACAGCTGTCCTAAGTGGTCATGAACCCTCGTCTTCAGATCTCGGTACCGCCTCCGTGGTCCAGTTGTAGAGCGTCCGCCCAGTGTCATAGTTTTTCATATTTTTATCGTCTGTGTGTCATGGCGATTTAGCACGGCGCTTAAGACGAAACAACAGTTCTGTTTATGAAGCTGATTGACAATAAATTTATAAATTTAATTTATGGACAAATATCTGTGATATCAAGGTGGCATAATGCATAATTGTGGGCAGGAAGTTCATAATGGTTAACTGTTCGATATCGAAAATCACATATTAGGCTGACAAGAAACACAATTAATTATCTTATTCTCGTCAACAAAATACTTAAACTGCACAGAAATGCATAGCGTATTGTTCTAAAATGAAGTATACAAAACTACATTGGACACCTATAACCTATAACAGTCGTCGTATCCTGGTGCTACATCATGCGCGGTAAGATGATGTACATCCTGCCAGAGAACCGTGCATGTAGCCCGTAACCCCCCACGGTCTATTACTGAGTGAGTGAGTGAGTTAATATTTAAAGTCACTTCGGCATTGTTTCAGCCATATCGTGACTTGAGCAAGTTATGCATTTGTATAATATCTTAAGACCTGTCGTCGAAGGACAGTATAAGAACTAGCAACATATTCTAATTGTTAAACTAGTTTTAGAACAATAAAATAATCAGATTATAACAGACGACACAATATAAAAACGGGCTGTAGATCGTCAGCAACTGACGGCAGACCACCATCCCCCACGGTTACTGGGTTGGTCTTTTGCCCGTTTATACATTGTGTTCCTGAGCAATAGTTTTCTTTATGCAATGTTATCAGTCTTGTTTTAAGGACATGAAAATCTGAATGTGATATATTGCTAGATATAGTACAGTGCACCGTTCAGAAATTTTCATATACTATTATCAATGTATAACATTGGACTAACATATGGTCTATGAAATCTTTTATTACATAATACATTTCTCTCCTCTAAAATTAAACAGATAATTTTTCTGATGTTCATTTTACTTACATGACTGTTGAAATGAGCAGGCTAGAGCTTGGTAGACTTGCTTTTGTACATGTATCTGGACTTGTTTTGTTTTAAAAAATAAATATTTTTTAACAAGTTTTAGTCAATATATGGCTGCAGTATTGACAACTCACTCACTCACTCACTCTCTCAACAATTTATCTGGCTTCTCAACAATGTTGGTAGCATTTTTTTATCAGCGTTGTTAAGCAAAGAGTGTTTAATACAAACGTATAACTAAAAATGACAGATATAAAAATGTCCTTACTGTGAACTACATACTAGTGATTATATTGGAGATAAAATTCAAGTAAATGCTCTCTCTAAAAAAATAATACAACAAATGGGTGAGTGGGTCGCTGTTACCATCAATCAGACCATATCGGAGGGGGACAGAATGGTCAAAGTACATTACATGTGTTGTACTGGACTATCCTATATCTCCTGGCTAACATTATTGGGAGTTCATAGCACAAGACAGATTGTTTGTGTGTTTGTTTGTTTAGTTGCTCGACCCCACAGTCAACAGTATTGATGGGAACCAGGTTCAGGGGGTGAATCAAAGACGATGACATAAAACAGAAGTAGGAACAAAAGATAATAAAGTATAATGCAGTAATACGGGATTATAGGGCGCACAACCATGAATTACAAACACACAATCAACGTACTGTATTTAAACATTCCTGATAGCACACTGGGTTCACTTTGCTTCATACAAAACATCAATTGACTGTAGACAAAGGCAAATAGAGCAGTCAAAAACCTCCCAAGGGCTGTGTTTTGTGTTTTGCTTGTTTTTATTTTTTTGTTCTTTAACGCCGAACTCATCAATATGCCAGCTATATAACGGCGTTCTGTAAATAATCAGGTATCGATCCACGCAATTGGGACAGGATGACATGCATCAACCAAGTCGGCGAGTCTGACCTGCAATCCTGATTGTCGCCTCTTACGACAAGTACTGTCCCCTGTTAAATCATTAGTAGCTGAAGAGCTATTCTTACCCGGTTCTTCAAGGGTCTAATATCAGCATGATAGAGAGTTACCTCCCTAAACTGCTTTCTAAAAACCACAATGTAAACGCTGTCAAAATACGACCAAAGCCATAAAATGACAAATGGATATTTTTCTGATATTAGTGGGAGAGTGTGGTTTTACGCCGCTTTTACCACTATTCGAGCAATATCACGGCAGGAGACTCACCGGAAACATTGTACCCTGGCCTTCAACGAACGCTTTAACCACCAGGCTACCCCACTTCCCCCTTTTTATGGTGACAAGATAGATCAGTAAAAAATAAATTGATGATCTTACTCATGATACTGACATAATATGCCACACCAACAGATACTGAATATTCCAACAGTTATTTCATGTCATGCAGTGTATTATACACATGATAGCAGTTTTTCCTTTTTAGAGAAAATTCTCTTTAGAATACTAAAATTATATATAATTTTGATGTGGCTATTCTAATGCATCTGCATGAAAGTTATAATGCCATAAATGAATCAAACGGAAATCAATAGTCTTTGTAAATAGTTCCCCGAGGGGAATGTGTTTGTTTGTTATTTAATGCCGCACTCAGCAATATTCGGCAATATTCCAGCTATATGACGATGGTCTGTAAATAATCGAGTCTTGACCAGACAAACCAGTGACTGACATCTTGAACATCGATCCATGCAATTGAGAGCGCTGACATGCATCAACTAAGTCAGCGAGCCTGACCATCCATTCCCGTTAGTCGCCTCAAGGGACATGTCATAAAAGTCGATAATGTGATGTTGGCAGAAACAAGCGATGTGTTTACCATTCCATATCCCTAAATATGGTAGTTGTTGTAGCATTACAATATGGCCTTGCTAAATGATAGCAATCGGGTTTTGTTTTACAAGGATTCATTTAACATATTTTAAGTCGCCAGTGAAGAGCAAATAGAAGGCGTAATATCTTCATTAACATGTTTACAAATCACTTCAAGTGTTGTCACGAAGCCGCACTTCGTCCATATTAATCATTCAAAGTGTTGTGAACCAATTGTACATGTGCATTCAAATAAAAGGATCAACATGTAAAGTCATAGCTTTCGGACTGTGTTGGAACTGTTTGACGTCTGAACATGGCAATTCCTGACATTTTAGGAACTTCTCTTCTGTTCATACAAGGTGGGTTCGTGTCACTATAAGCAATCACTATAACTTCCAAGAACAAATGCTGGTTTTATATTTGCCAAATAGTTAATGCTTCAACAAAACATTAAATTGTATGTCTAATATCAGCGGCTCGGATGCAGGAGATTGATTTGGCATATCCAAAATAGCTACAATAATTGACAAGGTAACTGTACTGTTAACACTTCAGGGGGAGCAAAAGCGACAGAAATACAAATCAGCTTGATGTGTTATCACGGACCTCAGTACCTCGGGTATATGGGTTTGATTTTGTTCGCTTTGCCTATTCCAAATATCTAGCATAATGGACAAGGTAATTGTACTGTTAAATCTGCAAGATGATCAATTGCAGAATAAGAACGAATCGTCTTGATGAATTACTACTGTATTTGCCAAAGTGCAAAGCACAAAGTTCCATATTAAACAGTTTCCTAAAACACTAGGCGTATTTGAGTCTAAGCCTTGTTTGTTGTCCAGAAAACATATTTTAGTGATACTGAAACATCAAGAATGACTTATTCAGCAAGTGTTTGAAACATACAAAGTTTCAGAATAAAATCTTAAACGGTTTCCGAGTTATACTCCGGAAACGGAACGTGACGAACATACGAACGGGCTTTGGAGTGGGGGATAATAACTCATTTCTTAATCATTCACTTATATATTCTTATTGTCAGGATGATCTACCTTTGAGTTTGTGTTAACAGTGACCATCCTAAACTTATGTCCAAATAAACGACACAAACTATTATAATTTCTTTATTTTATATTAAAACATTTTTAAACATATCCCACGAACCAAGCTAAATGTAATCGGTAAGAAAATTTGACAATTCGTGTCAAAAAGTGCACTTGCACAAAGATCTACTGCTACCTCGACACGTTAGGAACACGTTTAACTGCGATAGAGAGGGAGAGAGCCGTTGGAATGGCCCAACAGGGAGCAACGCACGCCGTCATTGGCAGGACGTTTGGATGCGCCAACAAGGTTATGTCAGACAGGTCCGACAACAGACAGGCCGAGAAGCGGAAGACCACGGCGACCATTCAAGACATCTGCATTCGGACAATTCACCTCTCAAACCGCTTCGTCACGGCGACATTAACGGCAGCAGAAGGTACTGCGACACAGGATCAGTCGGCAAACCGTGTACAGGAGAAAACGAGCACATGGTATCAGAGCACATCGACCCTACCTACCTTTGACGTCATCGGCCTGTCGACGTGCTCTGGCGTGGTTTAATGCTGCAGGTGGACATACCCGATATTAACGTGACATTATGATGCGTATTCTGACATTTAACACACTTGCCTCGTCATGTGTTAGTACTGTGACTTTCACCGTTGACCTCACGCGTATTTATTGGCCTGTCCTGAATGCAATCAATGCTTGTACACATGACGTTAAAAGATTGCTCTAATGAGATATACCAGTATGGATTTTCTATATTTCTTCCTTAACCATTCAAACACTGGGTATCGTTTCTTTTGGACAGTGGTTTTACTTATGAATTATGAAACAGAAATAGAGGGCATCTTTTGCCTTAGGCTGGAAGAAAATGCCTAACATTTGAATGGGATTTGCACATTTCAAAGAAGGTACAACCAGGGAGTCTACATAAACACTCCCTGTTACAACTAGATAACGTTAAAACAAATGTTTATTAAATAAGGAATAATCAAGGATGAACATTAAAAAGACTGTGTACATGTAAGGAAAATATTTCTTTGTATGAACAAATGAAGGTGAGGTATTTCAGAACCATCCACCAACAGCGTTTAGAAATTACGAGACAAATCCCCTTAAAGGTATGGTGTAAGGTTTAAACAGATAAATGCATAGGTGGATGGATGGATGGATGGATGGAAAGAGAAAGATACCCCAACGACTATGTTGGGTGTGTTGCAATCATGTTTCCTTAAACGTTTCTTTATTTTCAGCATGTTGGTTTCTTGGGTACTCGCAAGCTGTCTCTGATACAGGGAACCTCAGCGGTTTCCTCTGTGAGATGGACATGTTACCGACGGCTATCATTATTGGACCAAAAACAGGTTAACACTTTAAATGGTTTGTTCCTGTATGTAGGCTAAAGCTTTGTATGCTTGTGCCACATTACTGGGCGATGCTATCCCAATACTTAGTACTTTTTATCAATCTATCTCTACATACTATATGTTATCTCAATACTTTTTATCAATTAATGTCTACATACTATAATAATATACTGCCTTTAGCAAGTTCCATATTTTAATTGGTGCCGCCCGTCTGTCAGGTTATTAGACATGTTGATAACCTGACAGAAACTGAGAGACATGCTTATCGTTAAAAATACGATCAGCATACCATGTTTGTATTTGTGCTGCATTTGTGTATTAATGTTGATAATACAACATATTTACCACTTACAAGTGAAAGACCCAGAATAAATATTGTTTATTCGCTGTGGAATCGGTTTTAAATACAAACGACATTTTCTCATTTAAGACGGAATATGTTTTTTAGATTCGCGAATAGACGACATCATCAGAACAACTTCACGACAGACGAAAGCCATAATTGTGGATCTCGATGCCTTTCCAAACATGATATCGTGGCATATGTCTACAGTCATGTTGTATGAAAATCAGGAATCTGTCAAAAGGAACCTCAAGTTTCTCGTTCTCGCTGACATTGAAACAATTCGTCCTTTGCTACAAAAGGTATTACTATGTATGCAATGCATGATGCTGATTTACGCTATTACATATTATGTCCTAAGAAGCCAGTAACGGGATCGGGTGTTCATGCTCGCTGACTTGGTTCATTCATGTCATCGTATCCGAAAGGCGTTGATCGATGCTCATGATGTCAATCACTGGATTATCTGGTCCCGCCCGATTATTTTCAGACTGCCGTCATATAGCTCGAATATTGCTGAGTGCGGCGTTAAACAACGAACAAAATGGTTATGACATTGGGTGTTATCATAAGTACACTTGTATGATCGACGACGTGACTATTCCAAAACGCTAAAGAGCTAATATTGTCTGATGAGAAAATAATATCAAGGAAAACATTAACCAGCAATTAATGACAGCTTTCTCTGTGCAATTGAAATTTATGAAACCCTTTATATTCTCCGAGTTTTTATCAACCCGTTCTTCTGTTCAAAATATATTCACACACAGCACTTTCATACATTCATTGCTTGATATCGTTCTACCTATCTGGCATATGCTTTCGTTCTTTAACTACCCACAAATAGAGATTTTAAAAAGTGCTTTCTTTTTCTCCGGGGTATGTTAGGCGAATTGGAAACCTGATTACCTGAGTTGTTTATATCAAGGTAGAATAGAATATGGTGCAACCTAACTATGATTATTATTCAAAGAGAATGCATGTAAGCTGTCATCCCAAGTAGGGAAAGAGGAGAAATGTCTGATGTTCTTGCCAATATATCCAGCTTATATACACTGTCCAGTCATCTGTCATGAACAGGCTCAGCAGATTGATAGCGACCTTGGAGCAGGCCTACTTCTCCGACACTTCTCCAGGTGGCTGGTAGTGTTGTCAACGGGAACGGTAGATGCACTGATCATTGACGACATTGTGTTTGACAACGTTGCTGTAACGACAATAGACAACATATATTGCAGCCAATGCAGGGTATGTTTGTCATGGTTTAAAAGTCGTCATTCCCCTCCCACCAGGTTGTTGAAAATAACACTATTTGTGTATAACTCAAACATATACCTAAAAAAATAATACTGCAGGTTCTTTACCAAAGTAGCATTTAAAATCATGATGACAACTACGCAAACAGCAAAAATATATATATCATTTTGACAAGTTGTAAAGATCAACAACAGTTTTTTCATTTCCTTCAAAGTCCAATCTTCAACGAAGAAAGGAAAACATGTGCTTATATTTCCTAAACGCGTTTAAAGTTCTTGTTACATCGATTCGGAGTGTACATGTCTTCAGTTTGTTACACTTATACTCCAATGTAGACTTAATAATCTCTTGTTATCTTTGCAACTGTATGTCTGAACATGTATGTCTGTGCATAGTGGGTCAACAGATTCATTCAATGCATTTTTCGTTTGTGACAGCAAATCAACTTCATGGAATACATTAGCGCAACAATACATGCTATTTGTGATATTAATATAACATTGTGTTGTCAGAACATCTCCTTGCTGCAGACTATGATGTGGAAGAACGCTTCAAGAAAACTGCAGCCGGTTTCACAAGTACCTACAGAGGACCTTTCTTCTCGTATTTTTCCCAACACCAAGACTGGTTTGAATGGGAGGCTACTGAAGGCAGCCGTATTACAGGTAGGCCTTCTAATTACAGGAATGTAACACCTAATAATGTATCTAGGGTCAACTTACAGTATTTCTGATTCAATGCCTGTCAGCATAATTTGTGACGAAAGTTCGAACAGATTGATACGTGTCGCTTTACAAATTGAAACAATATGTTTACCCAGGAATCTGTACAGAAAAGCGTTAAGTGTGAAACCAACAAACCAACAACAAATGGTACACAATAAACAGTGGCCTTGGCTGGTGTCCAGGGTGAATCTTCACATAAAAGCTGGTCTTGAGGACATAATGTGAGATAATATGTGAGATGAGATACCTTTGCCCTTGTCCACTGATGTAGTCTTTTTCAGTCTCCTGTCAGTCAGTCTCCTTTCAGAATTGTTCATAACAGGCTTGGTCTATGCTGTTCTTGAATTTTCCAGAAAACACCAGAATCGAAGTATAGTAACTTCCACAGCACTGTTTACATTATAAAGTACTAATTTCTTGAAAAAGGCTGAACATTATTTCAATCGCCATCCTATGGTACATAATTTGAATACTTTCAAAATTTTAAATGCTAAAGCCAGGCGCACCTTTATGCAAAGCAAACGCCAATCTTGGCGGGTTTATGTTTCAAAGATAAACTCACGTACGCCTATGTCGAAAGTATGGAACATGATCCAAAAAATTAAAGGTAAGGGTTCTAAATCTAGCATTCACCATCTTAAAAATGGGGATGAATTATTGACGGATACTTCAGATATTGCAAATAAACTTGGTGAAACTTTGGCTAAACATTCTTCCTCATCTAACTATGTACCCCAATTTCAAAAGTATAAAAAACAGCATGAAAAGAAATCTATTAATTTTAAATCTGATAATGGGGAAGATTATAATGAAATATTTTCAATCCATGAGCTTCATACTGCCCTTGGGCAGGCTCATGATACTGCCACAGGAGCTGATAACATACATTATCAACTCTTAAAACACTTACCAGAAACATGCTTAGAAACCCTTCTATTAATATTTGATGAAATATGGACATCTGGCAACTTTCCGCCTTCATGGCATGATGCCATAGTTGTTCCCATACCAAAACCACGAAGGGATCATACCGATCCCTCAAATTATAGATCTATTGCATTGACCAGCTGTGTTTGCAAAACCATGGCACGCATGGTCAACAATAGATTAACATGGTACTTGGAATCCAATAATTTAATTACTAATATTCAGTGTGGATTTCGGAAAAATCGAAGTACTGTTGACCATTTGGTTCGATTAGAGTCATTCGTTAAGAATGCCATTATAAACAAGCAGCATGCAGTGTCTATCTTTTTCGATTTAGAAAAAGCCTATGACACTACATTGAAACATGGTATTTTAAAAGATTTACATGATTTTGGATTACGAGGCCGTTTGCCTCTATTTATATCCAAATTTTTATCAGATAGACAGTTTCAAGTTCGTGTTGGTTCTACCCTGTCTGATCATTATAGTCAGGATCAAGGTGTCCCACAAGGCAGTATTTTGTCTGTCACTTTGTTTAGTATTAAAATAAATAGCCTTTCTAAGGTGTTAAATGATTCGATTGATGGTTCACTTTTGGGGGATGATTTTAACATATCTTGTCGCGGTAAAAATATGCATACTATTGGACGACAATTGCAATTATGTCTAAATAAAATAAATAAATGGTCCTTAGAAAATGGTTTCAAATTGTATACATTTTTGTAGAAAATACAAACCCCATAGCGTCCCAGAACTAGTTTTGGATAACACTCCTATTCAAGTTGTGAAAGAGGCCAAGTTCTTGAGCATAATATTTGATCATCATCTGACCTTTTACCGCACATAAAATATTTGAGAAATAAATGTATGAAGGCCCTTGATTTGTTGAAAGTCGTTTCAAATTCCAAAGTGGGGAGGGGATCAGAAAACGCTCCTCCAACTGTACAGAGCACTCATTCGCTCTAAACTAGATGGCTCCATCGTCTATGGTGGGGCCTGTAAAAGTAATTTAAAAATATTGGATACCATCCACCATCAAGGTCTGAGACTCTGATGAACCATCCCTCAAACACCGTCGCATAAAACTCTCCTTACAATACATTACCAAACTGTTTTCTAATCCATATAATCCAGCTTATCACTGCGTATTTAAGCCACTGTATGAGGATCTCTATCTAAAGAAACAATCCATTCTTCCACCTCTTGGCAAACGGATAAAGCCTGACGTTTCTGCTGCAGAAATTGAACTTTCTAGCATATCTCCCGGCAAATTATTGTCGTCTCCCCCGTGGCAACTGGCAAAGCCGCAGGTTGATCTTGAATTAACAACACTAAAGAAATCAGACACTAATCCATTACAGTATATGCAGGAATATAATCAGTTACGACATACCTACAATACTTATCGATCTATCTTTACTGATGGATCCAAGGATGGTTGTTCAGTGGCTAGTGCCACAGTCATTGGATCGAAAACAATCTCGTCAAGATTACTAGATGCTTGTTCCATTTTTACAGCAGAATCTAAAGCTATTTTAACAGCACTTGAATACATTCAACAATCCCAATATAAACAATTTGTCATATTTTCTGATTCTCTTTCATGTCTTCAGGCCATTCAAAATAATCTATGTCATCATCCACTTTTATTAGAAATTGTCGAATTATATAATGATCTTGCTACTGGCCAATACGACATCGTTTTCTGTTGGTTACCCAGTCATGTTGGCATAACTGGTAACACGATGGCCGATGCTGCTGCAAATGCAGCACTCAACAAATCTGTGACACCACTTCAAATTCCATACAGTGATTATAAACAAGTGATCAGATGTTACATCCGAAATCTGATGCAAAAGAAGTGTGACACTCAAGTAGGTATCAATAAATTACATGAAATTATACCAAGTATCGGTTATACATACTTGGGTTGTCAGTCCAGATTTGATGAGGTCATTATACGACGATGTCGTATTGGCCATACACGATATACAAATGAATATATATTGAAAGGTGAGGATCCTCCATTCTGTATCCCTTGTGATGAAAGAATCACAGTCAAGCATGTCCTGCTTGACTGTATTGATTTTTCTATCACAAGGGATAACTATTTCAGTGCAACATCACTAAGGGATCTTTTTAATACTGTTTCGGCATATTTAATAGTTGACTTTTTAAAGGAAATTGAACTGGTCGATAAATTTTGAATATGTGAACATAGTTACCAGTTTACTGTATAAGTAGTGTTTAACTTGTAACTGAGATTGTTTGTGGCTGTATCCTCAAAGGGGGTTCAAGTACTGTAAAATGATTGTCCTCCCGAGAGGGTATGTAAGTCCACGATATTCGAAGACAGTTTATTCCTACTACCGTTTTAGTAGCAGTATACTTGTTTGTTTTAATTTGGGCTAAACTTGATGACAATTGCCAGCGGCTAGAGGATGACACACATCCTGCTGGGGAACCGTGCAGGTAGCAGAAGTATTGTAAGTCCCCACGGTTCCTAGTTGCCCCGTTTTTATAATGCAATGTTAGTTATCGTGAGATTTATTTATGGTTCCATACTAGTCTTAAACTATCCATCTGTGATACTCTAGTTATTTTACTGTTCTTTGACGACGGGTTTTTAATAAGAAAAATTATAGTAATATTAGTCACGATATGGCTGAAATATTGCCGATGTGACTAAAAATATTCACTCACTCACTCACTCACTAATTTCTTGAAAACTAATTATGATCAAATACGATGCTATGCTTCTACTGATTCAACAGAAACAAAGTAACACTCTTGCAAAATTGTGTAATAATACATTACACTGCCATATAACATGATGCATTTGTAGAACTCATGCGTTAGGTGAATACCGAGAACACAGAAACAAGGAGACTGTCGACGGATCGCCACCTTCTACTGTACCCTGAAAAACTATATTACAACAATGCTAGGTAAACTAAGGTGCGATTTAGAATAGACAAACTGTGGACTATATGATTATAATATATACTTTAGACATCACAGAGCTGAAACATATTGGTAAAAATATTACTTTAGACATCGCAAGCTGAAACATGTTGGTAAAAAATATTAAGATTAGATTTAAAGTCTCCTTCGTTTGGAAGGAGATTGTCAACCCACAACTGACACCCCATACCCATTCAAAATACGTTTCTGTCAAGCTCATGCAAATACTTGAATTAATCACAAACTTCCAGTTCTTCCTCCGCTGTTTCTTTCTACTTTTTCAATATTCAAAACATAGCTTTCTCAATCTGTCTCATGGGAAGCGTTGTTTATCTTAACAATGAGGGGTTTGACTGGTACAATGAATGCTGATTAATACGTCACACATTCTGTTTCAGTGGCTTTCATGCAAGCTAAATAGTAAAACCAAAACCATCTCCGGGCCATGCAGCAGACTCATATCCCATCTATCAGGAGTATTTAATTTCAGGTAACGTTTTCAAAAACTTTGACACAGGAACCAAAAGAGAGGTTCGTATATTAGACAATGTGCTTTTCATAATCTTTAAAATAAAACCGACAACGATTTAGCATTGTCATACTACTAAAAGCAAGACAACCCTTTTCCATGTTCATATGACATTTCTGCTACAAGCAGAACCGATTGTCCGATTCCAACTATGCCATGGGCATGCGTTTATGAATCACTATCAAATAATGATGACATCAGGTGTTTGCAAAAAAGGTCGGCGTATCCTGGCCCTCCTTTGGAACTCGTCAGAAACACACGCAGAAGCAAGTTAATTGTTCACTTGAAAAAAAACAAGGGAACGTATGGTACAAATCAAAATAGGGAATTGTATTGTGACATTTATGTTGTGACTGATGCGTACTTTGGATGCATATTTTACTTTACGAAAATATGCAGATATAATGAACACGTTATTTATTTAATTGTACTGAGCAAATGAGCTAGCTTTGTATATTTTAAACTCAATTGTGGAATATGAGATTTTCTTAATGCTCTTTCCAGCTACACTTACGTTGAGCCCGAGGATCAGTCATGGGGAAAGTATGACAATGGAACATGGGATGGAATCATGGGACTGTTGGTAAACAAGGTACATGTATGGTGTAAAAAAGTACACTAATGTCCAACAGAAACAATACCAAGTGTTTGAGAGCTGATGGAAGAATAACAAAACCATATAGAAAAATCATATTGGATATATCATCAAAGCAATCTCTTAACATCATGTGTTCACAAATACATTGCAATCAAACTTTAACCTTTAGACGGACAGGCCCAGAAAGACGCGTGGAGGTCAACGATGTAAGTCACAGTCCTAACACGTGACGAGGCAAGTGTGTATGATGTCAAAATATTCATCATAATGTCACGTTAATATCGGGTATGTCTACCTTGAGAATTAATGCAAGCTAGAACAGGTCCAGCATGAGTGAGGATTTCTCACAATGATGTTGTCTTTAAAGAAGTTAAACATGTGTTTATGGAAACATTTTTCAAGTGTGTTAGTGTGATTGGTCTGTAATTATTGTGCCATATCAATTTAATTTTATAAGAGAGATAACAAATTATGTATTCGAAATAATATTTTATATCTTTATCAAATGTCCAGACGAGGGGAAAGTAATACATTTGGCGTGCATTTTTCTCTTGTGCATCCTTGCTTACATCTATCCATGCTGTCATGTTGGAGATATGGATGAGATCAAAGTTGTAGTGTAAGCCTACCAAAAGTGTAAACATTTACGTTAACTGTGTATATCTCAGCTAATGATGGACACCTCAAGATCCGGGGTAGAATAGTTCTTCAGCAACCCATGCTTGCCGTGAAAAGCGACTATGCTTATCGTAAGAGGCGACTAAAAGGATCGGATCGTCAGGCTCGCTGACTTGGTTGATGCATTGCTCATGGTGTCAATCACTTGCTTGTCTAGTCCATACTCGATTATTTACAGACCGCCGTCATATAGCAGGAATATTGCTGAGTGCAACGTTAAACAAGAAACAATCAAATATAACAAACAACTAATGATGTTATTAACGCAGCAATGAATAAACATGCTTTGTGCGAAGCATAAGCCCCCGTGGTCTTATTCATAACAAAAAATGAACAACACGTTCTACATGTACGTGTACCCAAAAGTGTAACAATAATAGTTGAATGTGCAAAAGAATCCAAAATAAATTAAATCATGGCATTTGGTGTGACACCGGGTAAAAATATCAATGAATATAATTTGTTTTAAAGTTTCAAACACACCATTAACAGATACAATATAGGCAGTACATTTCAAAGAAATACATTCGCTTTTGCAAATGCATCCCTTAGAACTGTAACATGCACAGGTATCAGCAACATTGCTTGTGTTTTTCAGATACCTGAATATTGCTGTAATTTAGCTTACCTAACATTAACTTCCCCATCATGAGCAAACATAAAATGACAGAAACCAGTAACACATGTATGTAGTCATCACACACTGTCCACAGCAAATAGCAAGCATGGGATACGATGACATGCATCAACCAAGTCAGCGAGCCTGACCACCCGATCACGTTACTCGCCTCTTACGACAACCATGAGTTGAGGAATACCACGTCTATCCCGGATCTTCACGGGTGCTAGAATTCTTGGTCACGTATGGGTAAGCTAGCTCAGGCGATCGTGCATCTTTTAAGCAGAATTAGTTGTTTAATGTGGCTGAAATCGGGGAAGTAGCCTTGTCAGTCTACAGGTATAATTGCCATAACCATGTCTTTCATGAAGTCGATGTACTATGAAAAGAGGTAACGCAAAATCAACTCACATGGCATCAATGTATCGTTTGTGATAGCAAGTTTCTCATTTTAATCATTTCAGACAGTGGACATATCGGCAGTGCCGTATGCAGTTTCCCTTCTCCGATCAAACTACGTGACATTTCTGTATCCAATCAGATACACCTACAAAGACATCCTGTACAAAAAACCAGACTCCCGCGTCGACTGGGCCGTACTGCTCTCATGTTTCAAATGGCAAGTCAATGTATGTGTACTGGTGACAATTGTTGGAGTGACCACTTCCTTCCTCGTGTGCAAGAGATGTTCTGCCCATCAACACGGGCGCAGCAAACAGGTTGACCATCAGATGCTAGAGACAATAATGTCGACTATCGGAGTTACGTGCAAGCAAGGTATCATGCTACTGTTTTGTTATATAAGATCAGGGTTTATTTTGGAGTTCAAGCGATATGACAATTTCAAATATTAATAGCCATGATGATATGTGTGTGCAGGGTTTTATTCGGTTGTCAGCAAATTATTACTTAGAACAGAGAGGCATCTATGTGAAGGTTTATAACAATAAGTGATTGCTGGACAACCTGATTCCGATTAGCTGATAAAATGAAATACCAAAATGTCTGGCAGTGAAAACATCTGCAAACCGTTCAAACAATTGAATTACCAGCACAGATATGTACATTAACGTTTACAGGATCGTCTACACTGCCAAACACAGAGTCTAATCGGATCCTGCTCGCATTTTGGTGGCTGTGTTGTATTCCCATCACGGCAGTGTATTCTGGGAACCTGGTTGCCTTCCTAACTGTCACCAAGGACAATGTCCCATTCACGGGTCTAAATGATCTGCTCGACAGTGGCTATGATATTGGAATTGAAACCGGATCATACGTCGCTGAGATCTTCAGTGTAGGTGTTGTATTCCACATTCGATCATATGTAAGCGTTGGAGTCTTGCCTAAATCAGCACCGCGATCGAATGGTAAAAATGCATGTTTACACAGAGTGTCAGACTACTACGTTCTCGTCAATTTCAATTGCTTGGTCCAGAAATATATGCCAGTTTAGAAAGAGTACAGGAGTACTCTGATGCTCAGAATCAACTGTACATTATGTTGTATTGATATTGTTGCTGCAGGGCTCATAGTACATATTAATAAATGATACTGACACATTAGACGTCATTGACATTTTATTGCAGGGGTCGAATGCCTCCGTCAACAAACAAATCTGGAAAAAGAACAGGGAGCACCAACCTGGCAACCTCACTAATGAAGAGGACATTGTTTACCACAGGATCAGACTAGCTGAAGGACGGTATGCTTTGATAACGGACAGTGACATTATCAACAGCTACATGGCTGAAAAATGTGACATGGCTCACACAATGGAACAAAGGTTTCCTGCCACGTCCTCACTAATTGTGCCAAAACATTCTCCTCTTGCTTTGCTGATGGACCCAGAGTGAGTATACATATGCCAATAAAAGCGACAAAACCATTTCCGTAGCTATATGAAATCTTTGCCCAGTGTACCATTTCGGCCAAATGAGTTTATGACTCACTTTCAAATAGCGATGATACACTAGCACAATCAGTCTCGATTATCCGCTGAACTAGATTTCTTTTGGCGTAGAAGAACGTTACACATGGGCATGTGGCTATATGTCAAGATACCAATATCATTCGCGTAGATATATTTGTCCTTAATGAATCGATTCTTTCACAACACATTTCCTTGAAGTCCCGTGTACCTGAACCATTAAATCAAGCTATTATGACAGGCTGATGGCGGAAGGAATTATTGACAAATGTTTTTAAAATCCAACCAGTTCAAAGAACAAAACCCTTTGAGTACATGGCATGATACTCTTTAGAATATATGCAGTCTGGCCAAGGTGTTCAGTGCCATAACACAGTAGAACCGCGCTGTGTGCCGCACGTCCGGACTAGCTTAACGTTACAAACGAGTAAGCTTGACATCATGAATATCACCTTCATGCTGCTAGTTTGTGTGAAACGATTAAGTGTCTTTGTGCTTCCAATATTTAAATTCACACAACCTAATAATTTCCTCGAAGTTCATTTCAAAGTGCAGCATTCCTCAATCGTTTTAATATACATTGTTGCAGGCTGATGTTCCTTGTGGAGCGTGGGATTATTGATAAGTGGTATGAACAGCCCAACCTAGACGAGAAGGTGTGTTCATCAAAGGAGGAAGAAGCTAATGGCCTGAAACTGACGAATTTGTTCACAGTTTTATTTGTTGCTGGATGTGGTGTGGGGCTAGCTGCTGTTGTTTTGGTGTTTGAGATATGTAAATATAAAAAGGGATCTCACAGGAAACGGGCTCAGGAGGGAAAAGGTCTATGATCTCAAACATCAATATTATCCTGGGAGCAAAACAGTAGAACCTCACTGTGTGTCCAGCATGTGTAGCCTACTTTCCCAACTACAACGAGTCAACGTGTTAAACGATTCAATGTCTTTTGTTTCCGATATGTAAGTTCCAAAACGCCAAGGAATACTCAGTCTTGATTATCTGCCAAAACATTTCCAGTATAAATCACATGAATGGATCACTGAAAAAGGGACCACACCAGGTAAGCTGGTTTTCTGGATGCACGCGGCACTCACAATTTACATACATACACTCAAATCCATTGAATACGCACTTGTGAAACGAATAATTGCCCAAAACATTTTTTAAACATGACCATAATGCTGGGAGGGACATGTGCCCCCTTGTGACAGTTCGAGTTCGAACATCACACCATCTTGAAGCGACGAGCCTGAAAGTGACGACCGCAACTGTGAACACTGCACAGAAACACAACCACTGCTTATCTTCACATACTGCACGCGAACACGAACTTATCATCCGTTCACACGTTGCAAAAGGAATACATAGTGAGCCTCTACTTGATATCCTGGTATGTTGGCATCCTATCATAAACCTCATCGTATTGTATTTGTACCCCTTGCGACTATTATGATTGTTATTCCCATGTGGGTTGATGTGAATGCATGTAACAGCTATAAACCTGCTTTCAGGTGGGCTGCATGTATAAATTCACCTTCTTGTGATTGTACATTCTGTTGATGAGAGGATCCGATGTGACTATTTTGCCTGGTACACTTAATGTAATGAGACCATCTCATTTTGGAGTAATTTTTAAACCTGCCACAACAAGGTGCAATTGCCACACCACCCGTTTAACGGTACTTGTTCCATAGTTCCAATCAGTCGAGATATTACACTTTTTGATTTGACAAACATCGGGTGACTTGGGACATTTACGTCCCCCTCCATAGAACAAATATACTGTCTCCGAGGCGCTTTTAAGTGCGTGCAGTGCTCAACTGCATTCGTTATTTTGAGTTCCCCAATATGTGCACACACTTTGCGTTTCTTTATGCATATCAATGGGAATTTCTGATCGGATTGGAATAATAAAAAAGAGGACATTTGGCCAATAAGTTTAACTTAAGCTTCAGGTATAGAGATTCAATAACCATAAACTAGTCAATTTCCACTGATTTACACACTTGAACTAGAAATATTGAGTGAGTGAGTGTATGAGTGACTTGGGTTTAATGCCGCTTTAAACAGTATTCACGGCGTGTCAGCTTAATGTGGGAGGAAAGCCCGAAGTGATGCAGGTCTCAGGCGTTTGCCACTTCGGTGAAACCCACGAGCACGGGTATGGTGCTGACAAACCTAGGAACATAATCGGGGCGAACTGGGATTCGCGGGGCCTTAGACGGCTGGGCCATCCGTGCCCTCTAGAAAAATTGAAGACCAGTGAGGTCGCCTCCTTTGATTTATACTTTGATCTGTGCAAAAAGTCTCATACTCATGTATGAAAAAAAACGTAAGAGTGAGTGAATATGCTTTTAAGCCGCTTCCTAGCAATATTCGTGCAACTTCGTGGTGAGGGACGCATTCGGTGAGTGCACTGACTTGTTTTAAAGGGGCCTATTACTTTTGCTGCTGCCAAATATGTCATTCATATTCATGTTAACCTAACCCTGTGTATTTCAGTATAATGTGTCGATTGTACATATATATCTTGTGTGGTTATTTTGGCAGATTTCGCAAGTTAGTCCTGTTTTCTTGTTAGCCTTTGCGGGATTTTTTGGAATCACCACGTAAAAAACGGACCTCGATTTAACTTGGAAATGGCTTTCTGAAGTATTGAGGTGCAGATAAATTACTGCGAACTATGCACGAAAATATGTGTGTATGTCTAATCAAATGGTAGCCTGCAACCTCGGGGTATCAGGGTACTTGTTATGTACGCTAAACAGAACGAAATGCACTCGCTAACCTTTAGTTACTACTGGATACTCATTCACCGCAGGTTAGACATAGGCTTACTTTGAACAAAGACACTTGCCTAAGGAAATGTCACACATGCTTCTGTGTTGGCAAGACCGAAGACCGATCAATTTACTCCGCAGGACCGTTCTTGCTTGACTGTCTCGGATTGTCTTTTGGTGTAATTTAAACATCACAACTGCTTTCAATAATTGACGTCAGCTTTACTTTCATCTGTTAAAGGTTTGGGGACAAAACATATTTTGCATTAACAATGATAAAGGGCAAGCATACTTGCTAGAAGATAAGGGAACGGGACACTTAACTGAAATGCACACTTTATACTGCTCCCAAGATACTCATTCAAATGGGGTAATATATATGATATATTTGCTCGGAATCAATACATGTGTACCAAGTTTTGATTGTTAACGTGATAAGGAAGATTTTATCTTATTAATGACACTGACTGCGCCACCCTGACTTACTGCTTGTTATATTCCATGTGGCAGGATGCCTATGTTACACAGAGTGGCGCCTTGTTATTTATTTAAGGATCGTGAAATCGAGTCATTAGTATTGTTGAAAATTAAATACACAGTAACACATAAGCTCTCACTTCTCGCCTACAGTACTTTTTATCAGTTATGGGTGGGTGAGTGAGTTTGGTTTTACGCCCCTTTTAGCAATATTCCAGCAAAATCACGGCGGGGAGCACCTGAAATAGGCTTCACACATTTTACCCATGTCGGGAATCGAACCCGGGTCCTTTGCGTGACGAGCGAACGCTTTAACCACTAGGCTACCCGACCGCCCTTATCAGTTATGGGATGCATCGAGGACAACATCATAATCGTGGAGGGCTATTGGAACTGGGTAGCTAATATGTCCAACGTGTCTCAGTCTTTTATTTACAGACTATGGAAAAGGCTTCTGCAGACGCAGAAAACTAATGACGAGCCGCGAACAGGGTGAGTGAGGTGAACACGAAAGTCCAAATTTTGTTACAAATATTTATAAGTGATATGCATGAGGAAAGGACTGATTAATCAGAAACCTGCATGCTCGGCGACAGGAACATTAAATATATATCTGTGATATGGTTACTTGTGATATGGTTATTTTACTGTCGTTTGATGACAGGATTTTAGAAAATTTAAACGCACTGCTTCTTTTGGAAAGAGTTCCTCTGAAATATTGTCATCGTGGAAGCACTCACCCACTTGATATGTTTGTAATAGCATGCTTTAATGCTGAAGGCTTTTAATAAATGTATTCAGGTGTTTCAAAGTCGTGTGTATTCGTAATTGAAATAACTTCTCACAAGTTGTTGTGCTTATTTTGTTTTTCACAGTGCGTCATACAATTACGTCCTTCTTGAAGTTCACAAGAAAACGTTATGAATAGGTAATATCAAAGAGGTGGATAATCTATACAATCTCTTATCTGAAATAGTGTTTCGATTTTGTATTTCTGTATTTTGTATTTTCATCTTTATATAGATATCAAAGCAACAGAGTAAACGACTTTTTATGGAGCATCTCGTGTAATACTATATTATCTGTCATCCTGAAAGAGTAAACGGCAGCAGAAGCCGTAGAGATTCCCATAGGGTCAGAATTGCCGTGTGACAAGGACGATGGCTCTTGTAGGTGCCGTTTCAGTGATGAAGAGTCAAACCTTTGCCTTCATTCTGGCAGCAACAATTCATCACGGTAGGTAGTGCGATCACACTGTTTCACTTTCGTTGTACGGAGAGTCCTGGCCGCGTCTATAACAAACGATGTTATAAGATAGTACTTGTTACCCTGTACTGGTCGGCTCCGAGTCAGTACACTGTCTCTTAGTGGGATATTCACTTAAACTGCGGCATGGTATCTCAGTGGCAGAGCACTCACACAGGTGCATGCACTTCGGTATATAAGTGTAAAAATCTTGGACGCTATGTTGAACCCCATTTCACCTCACCTCACCCGCATTCGTTGTATTTATTAGATTTGCACATTTATATAAAGGGGGACGTTACATCTAAAAAAGGGGGACGTTATATCAATAAATATCCAGGAGAATCTAGAAGGTCAAAACAACTCAAACTGGGACTTTATTCTAGACACGTTTGACCAAACTGTATTCTGCTGCGATAATAATTATAGAAAGTGATTAATTTATGTTCGTTATTGAATGTTTGTTAGTTTGTTTGTTTGTTGTTTTACGCTACACTCGGCAATATTCCAGCTATATGACGGCGGTCTATAAAAGGAGTCTGGACCTGACAATCCAGTGATTGACATCATGAGCATCGATCCACGCAATTGGGATACGATGACATGTGTTATCCGAGTCAGCGATAAGTCGCCTCTTACGACAAGCATAATCGCCTTTGTCGGAAAGCATGGGTTGTTGAAGACCTATTCTAACCCGGACCTTCACGGGTCCGTTATTAAATGTACACATGATGATTGGTCGTTGTGTAGTGGGATGGACAAAGGAGTCTTTACATGTAACGGTAATATAGAAGCTGGTGATATTGATTATATTCTTGGTACTGGAGATATATTTCACATTTGTGAACACTTCAACATAGAGTCTCGTCATGAGTCAAAACAGAGAGAAGCTGGAACATAACATTTCCTCCTCAAAGGAATTCTGGGGAATATTAGGAAAAGTGAACTTTACCAAGGTAGGAAGTAATCGTACAGAAAGAGACGATTGGTTTGAATACTTCAAGACTATTTCAGAGGTACAGATTCTACAGATGCTTCAGGTGATATGAAGTGGGATTTAGGATTTGATAGTGAGTGTTATTTGACCACTGATATTTTAGAACTACCTATAAGTAGTTATGAAATTATAGCTGCTGTTCAGCGTTGGAAAATCAAATAGATGTCCTGTTATGTATTGGTTAAAATCGGATTTTTTATAATATTCTCTAAAGGCAATATTACCATATCTTGAATTATGATTCAACACTATTTTAGAAACTAGTACCTTTCCCAAAGACTGGACACTGGTTGTTATTGTTTCTCTTCAATGAGGTGAATAATTGCAGAGG